AGGGTATATTAAGTTTGCCACGAAGTTTGTAACACCCAGAAGTAAACGTCGGAGTCCCTATAAAATATATACATACATAAATGATCAGCAGGATGAGCTGAGTTCATTTAGCCATATCTGTCTGTCTGTATACATATAAACTTGCCCCTTAGTTTTTAAGCTATCGATCTGAAATTTTGCACCTGTCCTTTTCTCACGAAGAAGCTGATAATTTGCTGGAACGGCCAATATCGGTTGACATACAAACTGAACAATCGGAATAAAGAACTTATATGGGAAACTTTTTTATTTGATCTTCATAAAATTTGGCACGAGTTATTGTTTAAGGCAACAATATATTATCCCAAGAAATTTTTCAGATAACTATATTATACAGCTGCCATAAAAATTGAACGATCGGTGTAAAGTTTTTGTAAGGAGCCTTTGTATTTGTGAAGGGTATTATAGCTTCGGTACAACCGAAGTTAACGTTTTTTCTTGTTTGATTTGTATTGAGTATAGTCAATATGACTGGGAAACGTGCCACTCTGTGCCCAGTGTAAATAGTGTCACGTTTTGATAGAAAACAACAAAACAAACTAATTTGATATTATAATTTTTTTCTTTTACTAATTTTCTAACACTATCAAAAAGTAATTAGACTAGATATTTATTCTCTATATCTTATATAGTTTTGTTTATTTGTGCGTATATATGTATTCACGCTATTATAAAGCTCGAATGACTTAAATTGCTGACTTTTGACTTCTGTAAAAAATATTTGCACTTTAAAGCTTCTACAATAAAGCTTTAAATAATATATGGTATATAATATAAAAGCAGTGACTCAAGCCAACAGCGCAATTACTATGGTATGTATTAAAAAACTGAATAATATATTTACCTAACAATTAGAATTTATTACTGAGGCATAGCCAAACAGCAGTTGATAGCGCGAAAAATAAAAGTTTAATGCATTTATATACAAAACGATGTATGTAGTATATACAATAATGTAAATATGAATATTGTCAGCTGTTAAGTACAACACGATTTTGATTTTAGAAATAAACACTATAAGGGTATAAGGTATAACAGTGCAGCCTCAAAACATGCGTTGTACTTCCGTTATCTGGAATTTTATTTGAAATATATTGAACTCTGGAAAAATAGCGAAAAATTTGCAACTTAAATTTTTCCGACTCAATCTTAACTCGATTTTGCAGTTTTTGACTTGTGATGGCAAATATATTCCGGAAATATATATAAAGGTGTTTCATAACAGGGAGTCAAGTAACTGATCCGTTAAACACCGCCAACTAAGAATTTTGAATGTCTGAATTTTTATTGGATAAACAAATTGAATTGATCTCTTTAAGCTTGTGTAATTTGTGGTTATAGACGATTGTCAATTAGTCCTTCTTTCGAACGAAGCCATGACTAAAGATATTAAAGAAAAATCTTGCAAAAGCGAACAAACCCCATTAATTTTCTGACTCTTTCTGTTGATCAGCGTAGCTTAAAATTTTTAGAACTCCCTAATAGTTTGATAATATCACAATATATTTCATAGCTAGGAACAGAAGGCAGTCAGATAGAGAACTTATGGCACCTTCATATCTATTCAGTGTTCTAAGCTAGATTAAGATCTTTAATAAATATGAAATCCCTCGCAAGAATTAATACTGTTATCTCTAATATGTCAATTTTTTTAACTCCTTCGAGTAAATATTATTTTAAAGAAGATTAAAGAAACTAATTTGCCAAATCACGTCTTTAAAAAATATGTTCAAAATACCTAAATCAGTGAAATTTTAAATTTCAACGGATTTTAGTTTAATTCATTGTTTCGCGATATAGCAAAAGTTGTCTTCGTTAACAAGTAATGATCGGTATGCTATTAACAATGTTCAAACTCGAGAAAAATGAAGTGACATCAATCTGGAGAATAATAAGTGAAAACTGTATATATGTATATTTTGAAGTTCTTTATAAGAAGTGCTTCGGGATAATACCTCAAATTTACAGACTCTTTGAAATAATTTTGGAAATGTTCCAAGATATCTTAGCTGATAACTGTAGATAAGTTCCATTGTTTGAAGACTACATTTGATAATGGTACAGTTCTCTCTCAACATGCACAACATATTTATCGAGCCTTTTGGCCTGGCAGTACCTAGAACATGGGTTTAAAACCTCACAAATTTCTATAATTATATTAAATAATTTTTCTAATACAGTTCGACCCTGCTTACACAATGTGGACTCTTGAAATATAATATTGAGGGTAAAACTTTTCCAAAAATTGTATAGACTTCTCTGGCCATTATTATTGATTTATTATATATGAACTTTGGATGTTCTAATAATTATTACGTGTTTCATGTGGTCAAGCTTTTTTTTTTGCAAACTTGCGATACAAGAAAATATTAAGTTACATATATTTTAGAAATACATAGTTACTATATGTAGGTCTATGGGTAATAGCGTTATTCTTACTGGGTATGCACCTGAATATTCACAGATCAAATCAGTTGGTATATATGTTGGTACATACATACCAATGTATGTATATATCTGGGTATGTACATATAGAATTTGCAAATCAGTTGACGACTCATGTGAAATGACGTGGTTGCGGTTCGCAGACCGCATCATGCCTCATCGAGGCGTTTCTTCCCGCCAGTTCAACAAATATCGTTTTTGCTACCTATACCGTAATAATCTCAGAGCACAGGCAAACCGATCAGAGTCAGCATCTTCCATAACAAATACGAATGCTTTATGCCAAATGTTGGTGTTATTTTTGTTGTTGTTGGTTTTTGTCATCAGCTTCAATGTTGCTTGGTATTCGTTACTGGGTGCGCGTAATCATGCAAATATTTGAAATAGAATAGCAAAGAATAAATATGAACTTGAAAATAAGAAGTAAATGAAAATTGTCATTTAGTATAGCCGAGTCTGCAAACAATAAAGTCACACACATTCATTTAGATGCATATATAATAATATATTATATATACTATATATGCGCTTATATATGTGTATACCATAAATATATATTAAAATGACCACATGGCGGCCAGCACGCGCGCTTGCGCCGTAGGCTTATAGTAGTCTGCGGCAGTGTAGGTGGACGATTCGGTTATTTCAATTTGTGTGGGAGTTTTTTATTTATTTTTTAGGACAGATTGAATTCGTCAGCACTTGGCTAAATGAAGTTCTCATATATTCATTGAACATAAAAACAAACATATTGTACATGCTTGGTGCTAAAATCGAGGCTGAGTAAGCGCGTTACACGTCAGCGCGGCGTTGATTGATAACTGGAAATAGGTCTGTATGCAAATATGTCTGCAGGCGCAGCGTATTCATACATACACATGTTATTTATGTACATACATATGTATATTATACGAAATCAATAAGTACCATGTATCCGCTGCGCTCGCTTATCTCGCTAACATTTTGATACTACCTGCAAGTTTAGATATTAATAAATTAAGCAGCTGAGTAGCTGGGTAAGTCCATCGGAATTCTTAGAAAGCGCTAATATCGATTTCACGTTTAAATTTTAGGTCTTGCGTGCTATATAGACAAGCCATAACAGCTGAAAAAATTAATAGCCTTCAAAATAGGCCAATACTTGTATTTGAGCCAATGCAAGCATGCCAACGCTTAATCCAATTTTTCATACACTTTTTATAAGCCTCTGCACTGAAGGCGCATTCAGCGAATTTTAGTTTTTCGGATTCGGCTTGTTTTTGGAACGGCAGTAGCTAGATTGTTGGGCAGTTATGTATATGACCATAAATCCACGTCTCGTCACCAGTAAAGATGCGTTTGATGAATGTAGGGTCCTCAGCTACATTGGTAGGCATCTCTTATACGATCTCTACTAGACGCCGTTTTCGCAAAATATTCAGCTCTTGTGGTATGAGACATGCTTCATGCCAAAAATGTTAACCAAAATGTACCAAACACTTTTTTATTGATTCGGTGTAAGAACGGATTTGATATGAAACAGTCCGGTTCTAATTTAATCAGAATGGTAATTTTGTTGAGGTTAGCTTCTATTTGAAATTTCCTGATTCAAATGGCAACGTATTTGGAATGCATAAATATGTATGCATTTTGATCCCAAAATTTTTGGTTTTAAAAGTCAAAGTCAAAAGGTTCAAGAGTCAACAATTCCGATTCCGAACTATAGATAACACGAGGCCTTTCAAGCTGACATCAAATCAGCAGCCAGCCAGAATACTACGCTCCCGGACCAGGTAACTGTTGGTTGTCCAAATAACCAAATTTTTTTGACAACTTTGGGGTATTTAGGGTTCTCCTAAATAGCAATAAGAACGGTGGTGAAAATTAAGCGAACCCTATTACCTAATTAGATACTTCTGTCATCAGGCATACTTATGGTCAACACTGTTTGCAGAGTTGCTTTTTTCGCCGTAAAACAGAACAAGAAAAACCGTTAACTTAAATGCACCAAAGCTATTCACAAATAAAAAATATTCCACACCATTCAACCAAAAATAGGTTGGATCATTTTTTAAAGTCTGTAAATATGAAGCCGAAACTGGTATAATCCATATGTAATTGATCTTAATAAATCAAAGACGAAGAATTTATGAAGAAAATAACCGCCGGAAAAAAGAGATATGTTAGTTAAAAAGAGATTTTTGAGAGAGAGAGAGAGAGAGACAGTGCACAGAAACTTATCAATTTATCGACGTTGAAAGTTTTGAAGTTAAGTCATACATTTTAATACGACTTTGACCGAATACCGAATTTTTAGGAGATTTTAACTTGACCAGAACTTTTATATGGCACGGGAAGAACCTAGATTTTTTGACCATTTGAGCGGAAATACGCACCATGTAGGCACCATGTTTATTTTTTGGCGAAAGGTTTTTGGTAAATGGACTTGATATTTTTTCTGAGCCTTTTTCAGTACCGAATTTTAGTTTTTATAAAGTATCCTCTATATCTTTTGTTTCTGTTTGTTTTCCTTGCAGCGCACAATCAAGGCACTCGGCCAAACTTGGCACGAAGATTGCTTCGTGTGTGGCGGACCATGTCAGAAGCCGTTGGTGGGTACCTCATTCTATGAGCGCGATGGACGCGCCTACTGTAAAACAGACTTTGAGGAATTATTTGCCGCACGATGTGCCGGTTGCGCCAAGCCCATAACAGAAAACGCGATTGTGGCATTAAACTCCAAATGGCACAGGGACTGCTTCAAATGCAAGGTGAGTGGCTACGAGAATATATGTATGTAACAGTAAAGCATTTATAAAATTGTTTTTGACGACAGAAATGCGCCAACCCCATCACGGCGAGCATATTCGCAGTCGAGGAGAACAAACCGGTGTGCACGGAGTGCTCAGCCTAGGAGTCAGCCGCGTAGAAGACAATTGAAGTAATAAATAATGTGAATGCTAAGGACAATGGATAAAAAAGACAGTTAGAAAGCAAGGAGGAGAGATACACTGAGAGAGAAAGAGCGCGTCAGAGAGCGCAAGCGTTTAATTACCTGAAAAAATCTAGTTTTAAAAGGCAACTCAAATAACAAAAGGGATAAAAGTGAAATAATACACAATGCAAGCAACGAAAGCGAAGAAGAATTATTATATGCAAAAATAGAATTGATTTTTTTCTAATTGCTGCGCTACTAACCAGGAATTAAGTAGAATCTACGCATAAGGACACATTTGAAATTCTTCAGATAATCAAAACTATAAATATGTATGTATGTACTACATCACACCCACACGCACCAGGAAACTCCACATGCATTCCACAACATAATCCACACCTCACCGATCGCTGTACACAATCTCACACACACTCAAACATGTCGAGAAATGTTCAACTGACGGACGGACAAAGTGATTGCTGTGCGTCGTTTTCTTCGGGCTAGTCTTCCACACAGACTGCCTCACCAAAAGCCTTCTGGTATTAATAATTATGCATATGCAATCCAACCTAAAAACCGGCTTGTTGTTGCTTTTTCTCACAATAACTGCAGGCAAATTTATTCCATAAGCTTCTATTTGCGTTTGATTCGTTTAAAGAATTTCTTTTCTTCTACTTTTCTTCGTTCTTTTTTTTTGGAGAAAGAAAAAAATTATACTTAATTGTTTTTTATATTCCTACGACTTTTTTTTACTAAAAATCATGTAAATTGCATTGGTTCGTGTATTCCTAAGTGACAAATTTATCTTTTTGCATTTTTGCGATTTTTATATTCTTCGGAACAAATTCTACTAATCGGAACAAAAAAAATTTATTGAAATTTAAATTCGAAAGCTCTACTTTTTGGTAGTCTTAATTATCTATATAAAATACGATCACTTAAATACTCGTCTCTCAAAATTAGTATTTTGAAATTTGCCTCAAAACCAATTTTACGGTTGAAATAACTGTTATGCAGCAACCTTGAGGTGATTTATGAGAATATTGAATCACACTCGAATTCAAAAAACAAAAACAAAACGCTAACGCAACATTCCAGCCATTTTGCAAATATTCAAAAACAAGCTAAGCTTTATTAGTGAACTTGCAACAAAAACGTAATTCATTTTCAAAAATACTTAAGCTAGTTTTCGAAAACAATTTTTACAAGTTTACATAATATTCGCTTAAGAGTAGGAATTTTTAAACTTATAGAAAGATTATGTGGCTAAATATTTTTGAAAATTATTTACGTTTTTTAAATTAAAATGGTTTGTCAAATGTAAATAATTACAAATATATAAACAAATATCGCATGAACAATTTTACGTAATATTTCCAAATTAAGTTAATTGAAACTTTTAATATTTACATATACATACATAAATTATACATGAAAATGTAATTCAATATGTATGACCATGTAAAGAATCTAAAATAATAATAAATAAAAGCCCAACAACAAAACAAACAGCAGACTTTTTGAACGTGGGAATTTTCAGAGAAACTCTAACTGGAAGACGAACACTTACGTCGTTGTTATAGTGTAGGGTTTATTAGTTAAAAATTTTTAATACTTAACATTTTCAAGCGGGTGGCAACCCTCCGAAAAATTTATTTATAGAGAAACACTGAATGAAAGATTAAAATTTAGTTATTAATATTGTGCAGTTCATTTACCTTACAAAATACTTAAAAATTTTAAGCCAGTGGCAACCCTTCGCAAAAATTATTTGTACAAAAACGTTTTTTAAACTTTAATGTAGTTATAATAATTGGAGGCTTCTTTATATAAACTTTTTTTCTACTTATTATTTCTAAGTAGGTGGCAACTCTTCTCCAAAATAAATCCATCGCAAATACAACTTAAAGATCTTTACTTTGATATCCACATTACAAGTATAACGCTTCTACATCTTATAAATTTTTTTGAATAAAAATTCCGAGGCGATGGCAACCCTTTTATAAAATAAATCCGTCCCAGAAATGTTCTAAATCTTTTCGTTTCAAACCCAAATTGTGGTGTTTTTTTCTTATTAAATTTTGTGATTAAGAATTCCAAGCATATGACAATTCTTTTCTAAACTAACCCTGACAGCTATATTTTTCAAAGGTATCTTGGGCAGATAAAATCTGAGTCAGTTTCAGTAACATAGATCCGGAATTGTAGCAATTGCATGTTAATCCCTCAAAATATATTATGCAGAAGTATGGAAGATCTTGGTTGAAAACCTTCGGTAAGATGGATGAATATTTATGAGTTCGCTATGGAATTTATAACTTTAAATGGACTCATGGATAAAAGCTTTCTCCAACAGCATGAAACGATACAGGGGACCCAAATTCAGAGGGATGGTGCCAAGAGAAGGAGGCTTCCTCTGTATGTATTAGCTAATTAAAGAATAATTTGTAGTTAACCGGCATTAATTTTTGAAATGGAGAATATATGGATATGCCAAAGATGCTTAAGCGGGTAATCAAAAAGTCGAAGAAGCTCTTTTAATGACATATTATTTTTTACAAATAAAGTCGAAAAAAGATTGTTGAAAGCAAATTAAATAAAAATTTTGTAACTAATTTAAAAAATTTTATGAGAACATATTGACAAATCAAAATGAAAAGTGAGGTTAGGTATGAAAATGATAAAGTATATATTAATTAACAAAGAAAAAAACGTTTTGTTCGGTTGCACCGAGATTATAATACCCATCACAAATACAAAAGATTCCATACAAGAAAAATCGGACAAAATCGACGATATAATATGGCAGCTGTATGCTATAGTGGACAAATATATAGAAAGACGTGTGTGAAATATCAGAATTAAAACATTTTCAAAAAAGTTGTTCAGCGTTTGTGCGTACAAAATATGAAGAATATGCATTTGTGGATTATGTAATAATAAATATATTTAATTTTTGTATATGTTGGCAACACTTTTTTATAAGAGCCTAGGTATATTTTAAACATTGTTAGTGCTACAGAAGCTCATCTAACGCATACAATTTTGATTCAACTATTACATATGAAATTATATAAACTTTAACACAACTGATTTCCTATACATATTTCACCGAAAATTTATTTTTGAATACGAATGAAAAAACACAACATACAATTTCGTAACGAGAACATATTTAGGTCATAGAAAACTCTAAAATGTTTTGAGAGACAACAAATTTATTAAAAATCTCATTAGCATTGCAAGAAGTTTAATTTAGAATGAATTTATCTGCCGATTTCAAATTAATTCGATGATTTAATTCATTGTTATATTTTTAACGATTTGTACGTCAACGATATCACTTCCACGTTCGGTTTTTGCTGAATAATGCTTTCTTGCTGTGTAATTTTCACAAATAATATTTTGAATTACATAACACTGGATTTTATATACTACACTACGAATTTCGAATATTTTTTTGCGGTCGTTGCAATTCGTTTGTATGTATTTTGCTTATGGTTCTGTTGCGACATCTGATTCACACAACTGAAATGAGTATTTGACGGTTGTCGACGTTGGCGTTGACTTTGGCATTAAGTATTCGAGTCTTATATTCTAGAATACGAGTATATATGTATAATACGGCTTAAGGGTTAAAGTTGTAGGTACTTTGCAACACTTTGCAGCCACATAGCGGTGGTAAAAAGAGTAAACCGAAATATATTAACGATAAATAGTGTTTGTGTACTCACCTTCTTCTCGATCACCGAGCCGAGCGTTTGCATAATGGGTTGCAGTACTTGACGCATTTGCTCCTTAGTCACAGTTTGTAGTGCTTCAATGAGTGCCTTATTAAGTGTAGGTAATTCCTCGGAATTCATGCTCGGTTCGGCTGGTGGCGCAATCATATCCACAGCGATATTCTGTGCACTTTGAAAGAGACCCTGTGTGTAAAAATATTTATTACTATAAGATATTTATTCAGTAGTTGGCAGCGCAAACTTACCGAACTCCTTGCCAAATCGTTGATATGTGTGGATATTTGATCCCCATCCGGTTTAGTGATCACCATTTGGGATGTTTGCGGTACGGTCGCATTTTCGCTTTTCGATTTCGTTTTCGTTGTTGTTGTGCTCGGTTTCAGCACGCGTCGCAACTTCGGTTTACGTCGGTGATTGTAGTGATTCTTCGGCACCAGCTTCGGTTCGTACATATTCAGATCGTTCATGAACATTTTCAAGCTATAATTGGAGGCTGTCTGGAAGTGTAGTTATTTTAGAAATAGAATAATATATTAATTGAAATCTGTTGTGGAAAAGCATGTGAAAACACCTTGTCGAAACTTGCTTTACGATAATTATTGCGTGCCGTTAGAAAACGCTCCTCGTGCATATCTTCCAAGAAGCCCAGAAACTTGGCGCAACGTTCTTGCAGACACTCAATAATTGCATCGTTACGATCGAAAATTTGCTTCTCCAAACAAATGCTCACAGTTGTGCTGGCCAATTCGATGAGCGTGTTCAGCTTTTGTGGCACCTGGTCGAGCAGAAAGTAACGGAGTTGTTTGTAGTATGTCTGCAGTGATTGGTGAATGAGCGTAAATATGTTGTGCACACGCTGTGTAGCTTCATTGGAGGCGGCGCTGCAGAGTTGTTCCACCGAAACGACACGCAGATCTTCGATCTATCAAAAGATTGTTAAAAAAATTGATTGAAAATAACTTAAATAATAAATATTTGCTTTACCATGCCCTTTAAGGGATATAGAAAATTACGCGAAAATCTCACAGAGAATTCGAAGGCGTTCTTCTGACGTCTGGTTTTCTCATAGTGACTATCCGGCACATAGAGCTCTAGTAAGCTTATGCTGGTAAAATAAAAGGGAATGACTATTACTAATATAAATATATAAATGTTAGATTAGATGGATTTGGCCGATGAAAAGAAAAGGAAGAATATGTCAATGTTTTTTAAAAGTATGAAAGAAGTTGCTAATGTTAGACTTTATTAGTTCCATAAATTTTCAATGCTGGGACCATCGCCTCAGTCAAATTTTTACAACTTTTGCCACTATGTCGCCCTAATGTCACCCATAACGCGCCGAATATTGCATTCTAAGTTGTCAGGCGTAACTAATACATCAAATCACATGATATATTTATGTGGGTGTTCAATTGATATTGGTCTTGCCGGAATAATTTAACATTGTGGAATCAGCAAGTTGCAAATCATGGGACTGTAGTGCACGCTATTAACGGCAAACCTAACTTAAGCTTCAGTTTTAAAAAAAGACCCTTTACAGTTCTTATTTTGCCTTCGAACGGATAAGTTTTAAGATAAATCTTTTCATAGAAGAAAGAAATTTCTCATCGATGCCTCATTCTCATAAAAGTCGTTAACAGGGATCGAATTCAGATTCCACGGTGTTTTAGTTGGCAACTCCAATCTTTGCACAATGATGGGGAACTTTAAGGAGAATCTCAATTATTTCCACATCATCTTTTACATCTTCTTCTAGATATCATGTTAAATGGGAAACCCTTTCAGGAGAAACCTATCAACCGGTGAATGAGGTAAATGTTAATGATTTAATTAAGATTTTAAAAAAATTAATTCAAACGCTGTCATAAATACCAATCGTAGCTAAACTGATATGCCTCCATACTATATATTCGGACAAAATGCTCTAGCCTAGCTTAGTTCTGAATCGCTTGTGGAATGTTCTATTAATGTATAAATCCTCCCCCTAAATTTTTAGACCATCTCGAAGGAGGGTTCATAGGTGCTTCACGTAAGATTTTCTACAATTTCGAAGTTGGTAGTTTAGACAGTTTAGTTCTGCTCTTACGACTTCGTGATCCCTTTGACAGTTCTAATGACATGGGCTATATAACGATAGTAAACTATGACGTTCAATCTCTCCTTGAATCTCACGACCATCCCAAAAGCGCTGATGGGATATTGTCACCAAGATATCTATATAAAAGTATCTGCAGTTCACAGCCCTCTTTATGAGGCATTCCCCATTTCTAAAGAAGCTTGTATAAGCTAGGAGAACTACCGAATACCTTATCTAAGCTTACAATTGTAATTTAGACTTACCGCAATTTATCCAGCGTTTCGATAATACGTTCCTGTGTGCTGGTCATTTTTGCAAAAATTGCCATCTTCTCCATTTTCAAATCTTCAATAGATTTAGTCAAAATGATGTTTTTCATGGAACGCAACTCGTTGGAACTGATTTGATTCATTTGTGGATTACGCTCCTTATGTGGTCTCGGTGTGGTTGTTGACGATCTCTTGCCACCTGAACGTGGCGTGCCTAATGAAGATTTCTCAGCCGGGGAAGAGGTATCTGGACCACGAGCAGTCGACTTTTTACGTGGATTTGGTTTGACTTCTTCAGCTGGTTTCTTCTTCATTTTTGCGCACTTATTCTTGGGATCTTTACTGCTTGCAATAGACGGGTCTTTCTCTAAAGTTGGCGAGGGAGATTTTGTGTTGCGATTTTTCATGACCAATTTAAATTGCTGGAGGTGAACGAAAATAAAATATTACTTGACTTTTAGAAAATTATATGATTTTAAAATGTCACTCACATTTTGCTTTAAGGCCACTTTCTTATCTTCTTCGCGATCGTCGGTCAGATCAGAGTATCTCATTGGTGAGACATTTTTCAAGAAACTTAAGTTCATATTTGGAATTTCCGACTATAAAAAACGAAAATACAAATAAACAAATACGAGCACAATTAAACAAAAAAAACGACATAATTTCTATTTTTTGTTTTTGTTCGTGTTCTTTTTGATTTATGTACATACTTCGAGCTCGACAAACTCTGCCAGGCCACCGCTGCCATTCGAATTGTTTGTCAACTCTTCGGTTTTGGGACGCGCACCACAATATTTTGTGTATTGTGCACGCTCTAGCATCTCGTACTCCAGATCACTATCCTCTATTTCATAAGTCGAGGGATTGTCGTCGTAACTGTTGAGCGCATAGGTGAGCGCCATGTTCGGCAAACTCGGTGGTGGTGACATATTCTTCAACATCATTTCCGGTGTACTAATCTGTATGGGCAATTGCAGCTCATGCGAATGCATTGTGTAGGTGACATTCGTTGGCAAACGTTCGGATTTTTCCGAGAACTCAACGAATTTGATTTCAGCTGATTGTGCTTTCTCCATGGCCGGCTTGGCACAGATTTCCACCCATTTCGCCTGTGGCTGACGAAATTCCTCGACCACCGTCGGCATTACAGTTTTCGACGCCAACAGCTCATCCTCCTCTGGCACATCAGGTAATTTACACAAACCGCTATGCAGTTCACGTCGCATATGTGGTAGGTGCATGGTATGCGTTTCGTAGAGTGGTTCGTGCGGCAAGTCGAAGGGATTACAGAGTATTTGCTCCTCCGAAGTGGGTTCTGAACCATAAAAATCACCATCGCCAACGCAGTTATCATCGCTATATTCATACGGATTACAGAGTTGCCTAGGCGACTGTCGCGACTCGACTGTTCCACTGCCACTGGGGAAATCATGTGCCGAGGTACGTAGTATACTTTTCAATGTCATTGGTGGTTGCATGGACTTCGTGGTGTCCTTCGCTTTTGCATAGGTGTCGGTTGAGTTTTGTCTACGCAAGTCGCCGTAGCTCTTCACTTTGCCGATCAGCTGATTGATTTCCGTGTCACTCAAGTTGCGCACACGTCCGCCCGCCTCACCACGTGACACATGGGTCTCGACATCCGCATCGCGTCGATAGGGTGTGGTCATATCGTTGGCGCATGGCATCTTCTTTGCTTTACACAGCCGATTCAGTATTTCCTTTTTGCGATTACGTTCATGGTCCGGATCGGTCTGCTGCACCTTTTGTATCAGACGTTCCAAATGCTCGGGGCGTGTGTACTGCGGGCAAGGGTTATTTAAAAAATGCGTAATAAAAATAATTACAAAAATAAAAAACGGTTGATGAGAAAAGAAATTTTCGTACTACGCAGTTTTGCTCTAGTGCTTCTAACCTCAAATTACGTAGGCTATATTTTACCTTAAACTCGAAATTCCTTGTCGTCGTACTCAAGACGGGATCATCGTGCAGCGAAAATCCATAGAATTTCTTACCATCGAATTCATTCATCTTGAATTTTTTTTATTTTTATTTTTAATTGTGTTCTTATAAAAATCCGTCGTCCGTTTCCTGTTCGTCTCTTGTTAACTGCTTTTGTTTGCTTGCTTACCAATGCAGTTCTTTTCTCTTTCGGTTCTTTTCTATCAGTTATTGATGTGTTCCGCAGACGCCTGGTGAATTGTCAAAAATTTTCAATACAAAAATTGCAAAAACCAATTATGAAATATAAAGAGTTGTAAAAAAACTTTTTGTAAATGTAAAATTGAAAAATATATATTCACGACTGAATAGATAATTTCTTTTTTCGTTTTTTTCTTCAATGCTGAAGTAACTTACAAAGCTGCCTGAGCAAACAAAATTCGAAAACAATTTTCGTACTGCAAATGGATATTGAAAACAGCCAAAATATTGAAATTGCCCTTTTGAGCGAAATATGAACTGAGAAGTATGCGTGTTTGCTAGCTTTGAGTTGATGCGTTTAATGCCGAATGCTCGCTGTGAGTTTTTTGAGTAAGCTGCGCAGGTGGTGGAATTATTATATAGTTAGGGAACAGTTGGCTATAAGTTATATATATTTGGTTAGCAAGGGGTTGAACGGCTGAAAATATATTACATATACATGTATTTTTATCATTACAATTATAAGAGAGCCGAAGAGTGTATATTTCAGTCAACATTTGAATAGCAAGAATATAATGAAATACAAAAAGAAAAAAATTTTAGTAAAGGAAGTTAAGTTTCTCGAAATGCTCTAACATATTTGGGGGTTGAGTCATTTTAAGTTGGTAGTGTCTGTTGACTATTAAAAAGTCTTAAAACTTAGTGGAGGCTAGTCCTTATAAATAAGTTCGAGCGCTTTTGGAACTTTGGGTCTGCGATTATAAGGTACATTTCTTGAGTGTGCTTACTTTAAAGGATGAGATAGTTGTTTTTATCGTCTTGATTTGAGCAAAGCAATGAAAACACGTTTGACTTTGCGTCTTTCGACAATAATTTGAAGAAAAACCGTTCTAAATTGTCCCTGATTATAGCGCTGTTCTTACAGATGTACTCAAGTGTGCCTTTTGCCAGGTTTCCGTATAGAGGTTGAAATTTATTTCCAGCTTACCAACTGGAACTCATTAATGAATCGTCACTGTATTTTTAATTTTAGACATAAGTCATTACTAAAATGCTTTTCACTCAATTGTGATTATTTAAATAAGATATAGATTTAGCATTATGAATTCTCTGAAAATGAGATCGATACTAATTGAAAAGTATTTGAAATAAATTCAATTTGTTTAAAGTCTTAATGTTTCGATTTGAAGCTACAGATCTCTCTACTAATTGAATCAGGTCAACAAGCAATATAGAAAAACCCATGAATAAGGCAGGTATTCATATAACGACATCTTGTTAAAGGCTGACAGGCGGATTATGAAGGCTAACAAACCAATAAGAAACCACATAATTTATTGTAGGATCAGTCTTTTCTCAACTTATATCAGCTCTTGAAGCTTCGGGGGTTTTCATTATGGTATTTTTGTTTACAGACATAGACAGCTTAGTTTATAAAAATTTTTGGCAAAATCTCGTTTTCATTCTGATATAGGGTAGGTAGCTCAATAAGGGTCTAGCTAGTACGTTCGTAGTTAAGATTCCCTTTGTATGAAACACTAAACAATTAAAACGGAAAGAATAAGGTTAATAGTTTCAAAATAATTATTTATTAATACATGAATGTATTTGATACTTACTGAGCCCGAAGATCAAGTCTTATTAAAAACAAGAAAAAACGTTATATTTGGTTGCACCGAAGCTATAATACCCTTTATATATAATATATGAGTAAAAAAGGTTCTTTAGCAGAGCTTGATTCTGATCGTTCAGTTTGTATGGCAACTAAATGCTATAGTGATCCGGCGGTTCCGACAAATGAGCAGCTCCTTGGGGAGTAAAGGACGTGTTCAAAATTTCAGATCAATATCTCAAAAACTGAGAGACTAGTTCGCGTATATACAGACAGACAGAGGGTATAAAAAACGGTCTGATTAAAGGTTGTATCCAGATAAGAATGCTTCTACTTTTGTGTCCACAAATTCAAAGACAAATTTTAAAGAATGACTTTTTTAAATTATTCTTTAGTTAGATTCACCTATGAAGCAATTTCTGATACTTTGAAGACAGTTGCGATCTATTGTTGATATGTTGTTGTTTTACAAATAGAACCTTCTTTTAAGTGCGCGACCTTCAAGCAGTGGTGACTGCCATTAAAGTAGGATTAAAACCTAATGATTAAATGTATTGGTCCAAAGTACAGTCTCTTTCAGGGATGTGAGCATTCACTCCGGTATCATAGCGGTGAAATCGTTCACTGTGAGCTCAAAGTTAGTCAAGGATTACATCGGATTGGGAACAAGTTAGGTCTGCGCTATGCTTTGGCGATCTAGCGCTGGACCTCTGGACTTTGCGTGAGCTTAGCATACTCTGTTGAGCAACTAGCGCCTGTACGATTGAGAGATCCTTTTGGCCGCTGGAGATCTATTGAAGTGCTTGCTCTCAGTTAGGTTCATCTTGCGACAATGGTACGAGTTTTCATTGTATATGGTTCAATAAGTGTACATGCGGTAAGGCTGAAAATCTTGTCGGCTGCTAACTATCAAAATTATATGGAGGAAGGTAGGATGGAAACATCACAATGGACTGGTTCTCAGCTGTCCAAGTGTGTTCCGTTTTTGGATCGATCTTTTAACCTAACCTTAAGCGAGCTTAGACGTTTTTTGTAATTTATTTCCTGAATCAGAATCATTATAAGAGATACTATATTCATATACATTTTTATAAGTTTTCCGGTTCTTTGAACAGGTTTTTCGACACCAGTGCTCATAATGTTTCATAGAAATTATAAATGAATGGAATAAAAATAGTTGCCGAAGTTGAGTACTCAGGTCAAGGGTTAGAATCGCGAAAGCAAAACTTAGTTTTATTTGTAAATTTTTTTATTGTATTATATACGATAATATCATAAACTTAGCAGAATGAAAACACCTTTCCCAAAAGTGTAAAAAAACATGATTCAATGATTATTATCGAGGTATTAGTTTCAAGGTATCGAAATTAAATATAATTAGTCAATGGCCTCAATTGCTTGTATTTGTATTTAATATGATCCTAGTCTTATTATTAGTTATTAAAAAACATGTATCCCTTTTTCAATAAATAAAAAATATATTTCTTTATTAGTAAACGGAATAACCGGATTTCCGGATGGATAGTTTTAAAAACTACATACAATAACAGTTATGAATTGGAAACAAAGTAGAATTTTCAACAAATGTTGAGATAGACGAAAAATACTTAAAATACTAAACTAATATTAAACTTTTTAAAAGCTAAGTACTGGTTGTAATAAATATATGTGTGTAAATATTATTTTATCTTTCGTTTTGCTGCTTTTTGAACGCCATTATTGTCGCTTATACAGATAAATATGCATTTACAAAAATATTTCAGAATTTTCAACTCACATAAAATACAAGTTTATATAATTTAGAGATTTAATAAAACGATGCAGGTAATTCTAATGTACCATTACGCTATGCAGGCAGTGTATTTTCACTGTTCACTCTCCTCTTCACATTTATTTCATTTTCTTTTGATTAAAATTCATACACTTTATTTGCTTATTTTGTACGTAACTACCCCTAAGAGTCGTGCATTGCTCTCGCCACTTCTCTTCCCACACACCCTTCTGCGTTCGCGTCTCCCACTCATTGTGGTGAATCGAAGTCCGCACGGCTGGCGATGTGAATAACGGTGATTACAATGAGGAAGGTCAACAGCAGAAAGGCCAGTTTCATATCGACGAAGAGGGCGAGTCAAGAGAGCAAAGATCAGCCGAAAATATTCGAGTACAAACTGTTAAGGCCACTACTGATGGTGGAGAAAATGCCGCTGTCACTGTAAGTCGGGCTAGAAGGACGATAATGTTGCTGTGGTATTGGCAAGGGGCGATATAAAGGTACTGTAGTGCCTTCGTTGCGCTGCGAAAAGTTGAAGAGAGAGAGGAGACAATTATTATATGAGAGGGGTATAAGCGGTATTTGTACAATTTTTGTGAGAATGCTTGATTCGAGTCATGCTGTATGCGCGAGTGCCTTAAAGTATGTAATGCTCTTGTGTATGGTGTGAAGGTACACTGTGAAAAATGTTATGGGGGATTTACTTTTTGGTGAAGTGACGTGAAATGTAGCATGGGATTGTGCAGATGTGATGAGGAGTGAAATTCTGTGCAGGGTTATATTTTAAAAAATGCATATATACCTATATGTTTAATTTGTGAAAAAGTGATATTAACAATAAAATTTCAAAGTTTAATTAATAATATTTAGTTGAAAAGCTATTAATATTTTATTAAAAATTATTTTTTTTTTAAATATTAGCAATATACTAGTTACAGTTAAAAGCATAGCACAAAAATATTAAATTATTTAAAACATTTGAAATTTAAAATATTAAGTTACTTTAATTAAATATTTTATATAAAAGAGTGCAGTTAATATATTGGCTTTAAATTGTATTCTAAAATACTTACTCATATATACTATAATTGCGTACGAGTATTTTGGAGGAGGGAGCGTGTTACAAGCAATTTTATCCAGTACCAGCACAGAGCAAATAAAAATTGTTTAAGATATACATTTTGTGTCAAAAATTCCTTAACCTCAAATTAATATTGAAATAACGTCAACTTTTTTGTAAAATAACAAAGTACAATTGTTTTAAAGCTTGAACGAGTTCAGCGAAAAAAAAGTGCTAACAAAAAATATTATATTTTAATATAGCGGTCCAGATCGAAATGTTAGTAATTTTCATATATATTAAGAAATAACTTAAAACACCAAGAATAAAAAAATAATTTTTTATTTTGATATTTTTTTTTCGAAATCAGTACTATAATTAAAATTTAAAATAAAAAATACATATAATTTAATGTTATAGCCAATAATTTAGCTGCATTATAAATATAAGTTTGCAATTATGTTTTGAAAATGATTTCGGGCAAGTGACTGCTGCAACTGGTTCGAATAAATTCCAACCGAGGCCTAATTTTCGATCACTTTTTGCAGTAATTGTGGCCGTATGTCAGCAATAACACGCCAATTTTTGTCATCCAAGGCGTCAATCGCCTCGGGCTTATCTGCGTAGACAAGCGACTTTACATAACCACACAAAAAATTATCCAGGGGTGTTAAATCGCACGATTTTCGAAGCCACACCACAGGCCAACGATTCGAGATAATTCGCTCACTTTTAATTTCCTTCAATAAATTGATTGTTTCGTTGGCTGTATGGCATGTAGCGCCGTCTTATTGAAACCAAAGACGGCCACATTAACTTCCTCGGTTAATTTTTTGAAGAAATATGTATGTATCAATGATTCCCTCTGCCCTTAGAGCACACTTAACAGTGACTTTTGAATGATGTAACGGAGTCTCAACAATGGCTCGTGGATTATTAGCACTCCAAATCTGATCTTGTTTATTTACATACCCATTTAGCCAAAAGTGAAAATCGGTAATACATTTTCCCGATTTGTAAACGTTGTTCCGGAGCAAGTCTGTTCATTATGAAATGGCAGACCAAACCTAGTATAAGTCAAGGAACAGTTGTCAAGAAGACCAACTTGGAAATTGCCTCATTGAAAGTCACACGTCAAAAATAAGGCACCCGTGATAAAAAATGCGCTTGATTCAAAGTCGTATATGTATTTACATAAGTGTTTTTAAATTAAAAAAAAAAATAGCTCCCAAAGTTATGCTACAAGTACATTCCTAAAGTTCATTTTCTAATGCTACTACTTTTCTTGATCGTTTTCTCGGAAACAAAAATGTTCGAAAGTATTAAATTTCATAAAGCTCTAATCATTTTTAAAGAGAAGAAAGTTGGCATATATAGACTTAAATATACCCTAAATTGTACATATCGACACGTCGAAGGGATTTTCTGAGTTTTAAAGATCTGAAAAACGCGCCGGGAGAGGTTAATTTGTGATAAATTAAAATGAGAATCATGTCTTGATTTACACTTGACTATCTTTGGCGTAGCTGTTAGAGAAAAAAAGCTTGATATTCTGCTTTGAGTTCACAGTAATGCTCATAACGGCAGTGTTTCTACATGAGAAGACTTTCACCTCGAGAGACCCAACTCTGAGCGATATTTTCTTCGAATAGGTATTTTTGATAATAAATAGAGACTAAAATTATAATACATAAATTCTTAAGTCAGTGTTTCTAGATCAACCTAGTAGACAAGTAATTTTTTATCCTTCAAAAATATTTATTTACACTTTTAGTTCACCAAAAGTTTAACAAGAAAAAAATTAAACTAGCTATTCAGCGAGATTTTTTTAAATTTTTACACACACTCTTCTAACTATATGGTACTTAAAAGGTAATTAATTTATAGGAAAAATTATTCTATCGTTATCACTCCTACGATTGCCCCAAATTGTTGTTAGATCATTTGTTGTAGATGTTGCTATTGTTGTTGTTGGTGGTGAAGCAAGTAGCTGAAATCGCAATATATTTCAAAAATAAATCCCAAAAACCAATAATAATATTAATTATTGTGAAATTCAACAGTGTTTAAGAAAAATATACACACAAGAGGAGTAGAATAAATATATATAAAAAAGAGGAAAGTAATGTTGTCACATTATAGTGTAGTTGAATCTGATAAAAATATGTATAATTAATGTATAATTATATGTATAATTATATACTATATATTTACTTAAGTGCAGCATGCAGTTGCATTTTTTGCTAGTTTTTAGCGATTATTTTAATTATAAATAATTATTATATTTACAAATTTTTAAAATATAATTTATAGGTGAAGAAAAAATATATAGAATGCATAAATTAAGAAGGTTGACTCACCTTTGAGGGTGTCAGGGTGACATTTAGCAGTGTTGGATGTTGTTCAACAACAATGAATTCCACCTCACGTGGTGCGTAGCCTTCGGCAAAGACCTAGAAAAGGTAATAAAATATGTGAAGGGGATTTATAGATGCTCCAAATTTTGAAGTTATTGGGAAAAAACTTCTTCTGGAAGTATGAAAAATTGGTGAAAGAAATTTGGTCTACAATTCGACACAGTAGAACCCTGTGCCCATTTTGCCCATCATCCCTAGGTAGTTAAGGTAGATGACATCTTGTGAGTCCCAGAGCCCGGTGGCGATCACCTCTCCTATGGAGAGGTTAGGTTTTTCGCTATTTCTCGGTCTGTGGTGTATCTCAATGGGATCTACTTTTCATCATCGGTTAATAAACGATTTAGAAACTACTGGTCTCACTATTTAATATTTTATGTAGGATATAGTCCATATGGTCTTTTGAGATACCTACGGACTCAGCTAGCTGCGAATTTTCAATCGGCGGCCTGCCAATACGAGAACGGGCTTTGGATGTGGCTAATCAAAAATTAAAGCACGAATATGTTGAAAATCGTTACATCGATTTTGTAACCGTATACATCTTCCAAGCACTCTTTGGTGTCTTTGCGCTATTCGCTTCCGAAAACAAAAGTTGTATCGCCGACCGATATTACGATTTTTCCAAATTCCCCGGACCGGCCCTGATGTTTTCGAGAAAAACTTGTTTAAGCGACGTATATCCAAAGCATTATTAATGTTCTATATGTTCGATATCGTAGAAACTAAACTACTACTACTAGATCTACCAGTTGTTCTCATCGTTATAAATAAATAGTATATATGTATTTGTATATGTGATATATTGAAAACACATTGAATAAGTAGTGGACTCACCTCTAATTTATAGTAACCGGGCAGCAGTATTCTCCAGAATTCGCCATGTTTTGTCGTCTGGAAGCCGACATCACGTCCTTTAATCTTTAACGAAGCGCGTTCAATAGGCGTGCCTGTGGGATCCAAGACGAAACCTTGAACACCACGATGTGCCTCAGCCAAAAATTTGATCATGGACTGAAAAATATTGAAATTTATATGTATAAAATTTGTATTGTTCTTACAATTTTCTACTCACCAATTGATTATCCTCCCAGTACTTTTTCAACTCATACGCAGGTGGATATTTGCAACAGGAGATTTCCAGCGTCACCTCCATGCAACCATACCAAACGTAGTTGTAATCCTGCATGCCACCGGTGAGTGGATACCAGGCAGCACCATTCGTAATGCCATTCTCAAATGCGGGCGTGGCCGATTTACAAGCTACACCACGTGACATTTTCGCGTGATTCTTTGCATAGACGAGTGATAAATGCTTGAAGATGTCATCGTCCGGTGTGAGTGAAGGGGCCGCCGAGTATGTTTGGAACACTACGCCAAGGGGACATGTTGTTGTTAAGGGAAAGTGACGAAAGAGAGAAAATTGGTGAACATATTTATATTTGTAAAGTTTGTTTTCTATTAATATATTATACAATTTTTGAATAATCGCTCGCAAATCGGAACTGGGAGCTACTCACTCGCGCACAAAGCCGACGATCGACAAATTCCTTTGAGCAGCCATGTTGTTGGTAGGGAATAGGAAAGGAAGTTGGTAGTACAAGTTTATTGATCGGTAAATTTTTAAAAATACAAATTAATTGCGCCAATTATGAGCTATGTCGTGATGGGAAAAATGAGAGATGTAGCGTTGTAGTTATTATACACATGTACAATGCGATGAATGTAGTTATAAAATTTTCTTTTTTTTTTTTTAAATACAAATTTACAAAATATACGAATGAAATTATTTTACTTAAATATTTTAAATTAAAAAAAAGCTTTTAATTTAATTTAATTTTTTTAAGCTTTTTTTTCTGTTAAGGAAAGGTGACTATTTGGTTTTTCCTACCAGGTTATATAAGTGATCAGCGGGACGAGAGAAGTCGATTTAGTTATATCCGACCTATCACTATACGGTATAGCTGTCATACAAACTTGTCGATGATACTTGACTTGAAGATATCTACACGAAATTCGGCATGATTTATTTTCCAATATTTTCCAAGGCAATTGTACAATTTCTGAGCAAATTGTTCATATCGAACCACTATATCATTTAGCCTCTATTCAAACTGATCGATAAAAATTTTTTTTTACACCCTTTAATTCTATAAGAGACGCAAAAGTGAAGAGTGCTGCCGAAGTTAAAATTTTTTCCTATTTTATTTGAGATAAATTTGGGGTGTACAGTTCCCAAGAATTGTTCGCGCCGATCTCGTCGAGTTTTTGTACAGTTGTTCGGTGGGGGAACTTAGCCTCATATTAGTCAGATAGAGCAAACTTACTGTGGATCTAGTTTTGACCGACTCAGTACCAGTTTTTGTCGAATATATGTGTTTATGGGCAACACTTAAGGTCATCTGTCTGTAATCTATTTAGCTGCTACTTATGACTCTATATCACCAGTAAAACATTTGAGGTTTTTTCCTCAATTCCCACCTCTGCGAGCTCTACGTTACCAGAACTAACATAAATTTTACGCGCTCAAGGGGTGTTGACCTACATATATCGGTAAGTTCTAAATATTATATAGAGGTTGGCTTAACAATTCTGAGAAGAAATAATACCAGAGGTGCATTATAAAAACTTTAGCTGTAATACAGACTTCTAGTGAAACCGGAATTGGGTTATTTTTTCTTTTAAGTATGGTTGATGAAAAAGCCGCCATAATAAAATATTAAGTTCTTTCGTAAACTGAGCATCAAGCCAAATCCGGCAAAATTTTTCATGGCTTAGTTGGGCCCTTTTTTTTAACACATCTATATTTATTAAGGTTTCTTATGTCAAAGCATATAATTTGTGATAATCCACCCAACTTAATTTAATGCTATTTCTTAATATAGAGTTTCGAAGCTTGTATTTGGATGCCACTCTGCCCTCTTACCCTATTTAAAGTATTTTTATATTTTACTTCTTAGCCCCTCAAGCATTCAGAACTTGTTATATACTTACTAGAGTTTGGCGTATTGTCATAGGGATAACTCGCCACTAAAGCGCCGCCATGCAAACTGCCACTCAACACAAATTGTATTTTCGATATCCAATCCTTTACTGCATCGGTTTCGGGTTGTCCGCGTTTATTGTTTTGCTTAAAGTAGTCGGGAAAATTGCGATTCAAATCGAAACCTCGCGCATTATACCTGCAAAAGTCAATATTATGTCTCATAACCGCTTTATTTCGCTTTTATTCTCACCTGCCCTGCCCGCCATCACAGGCGCCCTCCTTTGAAACCGCAAAGCCATCCGGGTTCATTGATGGCATGATGTGTATGCGTGTATTGTCCAGTAACCATTTCACATACTGATCGGTGTTGTAGCTAGTCACGAAATACTGTATGAGATGCAGAAGCAACTCACGACCCACCGGCTCATTGCCGTGTATATTGCCCACATATTTCACATCCGGTTTACCAATCATGTGCTCGTAGGGTGAGGAAGATACCACCATAACCCAGAGATCTCGTCCTTGTATCGATTTACCTATAGAGTAAAGTGCTGTTAGGTTTGGATAGCGGGCGCTGGTTGCTCTGAAAGTGAGTAAAGTGTGTACCATTAGATACATATATGAGTAAGTAATCAAGTCTCGACTTTTTTCTCTCTCTTGTTTTAACGGAGATTTGTGTGTAATGGAAGTTGGAAAAAAGTCAGTAATATAATGCATGAAGTTGAGGATCATAAATTGTTGAGAATCATTGGTATACTCCTATCAATACTTTACATTAAATTAAAAATAAAATGTGTTACGAGAAGGTAATAAACTTAGACATCGAAGTTCGTTAAAAATTACGTGGGCTCGCTGTCTACAACTTGCAAGAGACCGAATTTGGAATGTTGCAGAGGGTAAAGAGAAACTCCTCTGTCTACTGCTAAGCCGTTGGGTCTCGAACTATTGTATTTACTGAAACTTATCTTTACTTGGTAGAAAGGTCTCTTACGTCAAGAGTTCACTTTGAGAGCTTTCATTCAAAATATTGAGTTAGATTGACATTAAAAGTAAGCTCTCCAATAATATATATGTAAAAGTCACATCTAAACAAAATTTGAGATTCAATTGCTTGATTCATCCAAATTCCTATATTTAAAAATTTTTAATTATCTCTTTCTTGTCAATATTTCGTACTATTCTCGTTTTAGTCAAAGAAAAAAAAAGTATTTATAAAATATAAGTAACTTTTCTATTACTACATCCTAGAAGATCTACCTTATAGAATAGTGCCTCCACGAAATCGACGGCATTCTTTGATATGCTATTAATTTTTATGTATTTACCATATGGATGTCAATGTACTAGGACAATTATTTAAACAGGTATATTTGTTGACTTAAACTTACCTCAGAAATCTTGTCAGTTCATCATGGTCATGGTAGACAAAGTCCAAATACTGTGAATCGGGTATGTAAGCACGTGGTTCGGGTAGTGCTGCATCAAGCTCATTTGTAGATTGTGCTAGACAATGATAGGAGTACAGGAGGAATATGCAAATATACGCGGTCCGCAGAATCATCTTTTATCAATCTTTACGAAAATTGTATTTAAGAAGAATCACACAGAGTGTTAAATAGACGAATGCTGTAAAAGAAAGGAAAATATTTAGTAAAAAAATCAATTAAAGTAGATAAGAGAGATACAAGTGTAGAAAATCCGGTTTACAATCGGTTAACATTCACACATAATGCGATGCCATTAAAAGCGATGTTTTTTCGTGTAGTTAATGACTTAAGTTCTTATAACGCTTAATTATTATATAATAACGGCTTCGTATTTCCATAAAAATTAAAATGGCATGACTTTGAAAAAATCCACCCCAAAAAGCGATTTCTTAATAAAAAATATTCCTCTTATCAGCTGGCTGACGTAATAGAGGTCATAGTCTTCAAAATTATTGTAGCCAATAGTTATGATTTTAAACCTGGAAAGTCTTCCCAGAACAGATATTAATCATTCACCAAGCTTCGAAAAGACTGGAGTAGAGAGTTTATCGGGTAGCTCTTTTAGTCGGGTAACTACCGCACCAAAGTCCAATAAAATGTCTCTATTTTTTCCAAACCTAAGCTATTTTCGTCGTTGCTTGGATTTCTCCCGTACCATTCAAAAAGTTTAATTATCTTTACTCGCCTCTTTACTCTTTACACTTTGCTCTATTATATGCTTAGCTTAAAAAGGATGTCTAAGCAACAGAAACTGAACAAAATGAACGCATTTGAATTAGTGCAACGATCCGAAAAGATCAAGATCATTACATAAGCAGTGAACGATACGACTGATCACGAACACGTTCGCTGTTATAACTTTTCTTTGTAGCTGCATAATCTGCCAACTTTTCATTTCGCTATGCTAATTGCGTAATAGTTTCAATAAATTTTCCACCATATGACGTGATTCGATTTTGATTTCGTCTGCAGCCGCCGCGAGTGAGTAAAGCGCAATGCAACTGATAAAATAATTACGAGGTTTCACTAATAAGAAATTGAAAAAAATGTTTCATTGAGAAAATATATACATATGTACATACAAGTACAAGTATAACATAACAGAGTATTGCACCTCACGGGTAAATAGAAGATATTTTTACATTGACTGAATGGAAAGACAAGTATTGACAAGTCTATTGACGTAATTGTAATTTCATAATTTGTGGTATGAATTTGTTTACTTTTACCTATATTTATTTATAAAATCGATAATTGCTTTTGTGGTTTTAACTTAGTATATTCATTAGTTATCTCTATGTATGACCTTGTCAGTATCATACTGTAATTCTGAATTATGTACTTCAGCTGTATACCGCATTATATGGGGTGCGATGCACTCCAATAAAATGTCCTGAGGGCGATCCCTATGAAATATGAAAGTTAAGAGTTGTCAAGAAATAATTTGTTTGTTCGAATTGTTGGCTGGAAAGAAGGATCAAGAAGTAGCGTGATTGCAAAAGGCTTCTCTTGTTATATCCAAGCATGTGGGTGGAATTGTGGATGTATGAGAAGATGCCAATGACAACAATGAGTATGTAGAAGACAGCTGAAGGACCGTAAACAAATTTTGCATTCTTTAAATACGCACAATCTCTACCTGAAATACATAGTATATTTTTTGGTCTATCTTGTAGATATTCACATATTGATATTTATTTAAAAATGAGCTATATATATATATATAGATCTTTTTGTCCAAAGGGAGAAAAGGAGTAGAAGCGTTTGAGCAATGAAGGCAATTAATCCAACTAAACTAGCTTATAGGTAGTGGAAGGTTTTTTAAAAGGTGTCTTGGGTGCTTTTTTGGGCACATTATTATTTCCGATTTAATTATCTAATTCATAAAAGAACTTCGATTCTAATATTTAATACATAAAGCCAATTTTGATTCTCGATAATGAGGTATTTTCTCAGAAAGAACAGCTATTAAATTATATATTTTGATTTTAAAGGTCTTCGCTTAATGTAAACCTGTTTCTAAAGTTTATTATCTGGCATACCTCGCAAGTACCTAACTTTGTAAAACCTGTATTATGACTATCTTTAGTGAAATATTAAAGAGACATTAAGCCTTCCCGAAATTTCGTTTGAATTTTAAAATTATTAAAATTTCGGTTTCTGTTCTGTTTCTGTTTTAAATCTTTCTGTTTCTGTTTTACTTTGTTCTGTTGTGTTTCTGCTTTGGCCTTTATTGTTGTTGTTTTGGCTTTGTTTGTTTGTGTTTTTTTATAGTTCTCTTGTTGTTGCTGTGGTTTTATTTCTGTTCACATTCGAAGGATGAAAATAAAAGTTGCTTCTTGAGGTATACAACTTTTATTCAAATAAAGAGTTAGTGTGCAAATTTTCTAACAATTGGGGTTTTTTTGTACAGAATTTCGGACATATTGTTAATGTAACTGCGTGTTATGAAGATCTTCTTCTCGATCCAGTTTTGCATCATTATTTTGGCTTTATCTCGTCAATTATAAGCCGAATTTTGGTTTTCAACTGCCCAGTTGAACCTGGTAGCATGGCACATTTAAATGACAGATATCGTAAGAACTGGAAGAACAGAGTCGAATATTGGATAATAATGATTTTGGTAACCAAAAATGTAGTGAAACATTCGCCCGTTTTGTGTATTTCAAAGAGTACAATCGTTATGACTGCGCAACCTCAAGAGCGCGGTATACGGTATTTTCACCTGAACTCAGTAGGAAATCGTGTGTCTGTTAAACCGAAAATTTCACATTTCATTAATTATTTTCAATATTAAAAACTGTTATCAACTTGTGAAAGGCTTACAACCAAGAAGGGAAGAATAAATCTCTGACCACAAGCCTTTTTAACAATAAAAATTTTATTACCGTTAGAGTACTAAAATATGACATGAGATTAAAGAATTAAGATACCATGTTATTTTAAACTCAAGTAACGATAATTTCTCTCTCAACTTGACACGTGTATATACATATATATATGTAGGTATAAAATTCTGATTTCAGTTTTGTTTCATTTATGTTAGCACCCATACTGAAAATGAAGAGAATTGTCTCCGTATTACTTCTAAGCACACTACTCATTTCAGGTCATGCCGCACCAGCGATGTTAAGTGCGGACAGTTACCCTACCAGGGTTTCCTTAGCATCGGCAGAACGGCGACTTGTGGTGCCGTCATATTATGCTTTAACGGCGTTGACCTGCTGACACTCCTCTGGCAGTCGTGAGTAGCAAGAAACATTACATGAAGTAATACATATATCGAGTTTGATACATAATATACTTTCCAGTTAGTTGGCCACCACAGCTCTTCACAGTCACCGCAGGTACTGTGGTACTCTACAGAGACGGTTGAAAGATTGTTATCGACGAAATCACTATCATCCCAACAACAGTAGTCTCGACATAGGCATTGCATTGCTAAAACTCCAAGAACCCTTGTTCTTATCTGACAAAATTCAATCCTTTCCACTGGTCCGGGTGAAACCACCCATAAATGTTGAGGTGGAGATTTCCGATTGGGATCGCATTAAACAAACCGAAGAGAATTTACAAGTATACCGCACATTACTTATCAATCATGTGTTCGGACAAGGTAGATGAGCAAGTGCTTTTGGACCTCACATAAAAGTGGTATTTGTCGTGGAGACTTTGGCGGTTTGGCTGTGTATGTGTGCGTATGTGTTAGGAGATTGTGGAAGCACGTTGTCCGATGCCATTGTTAGCATTGCAAGCAACTACGACTGGATACAGATGCAAATTGCAGCGTAATCATTCTTTTAGAAGAGGTCAGAGGCTGGATGTACTACAAAAATCAACAAAAGCAGTAACCTTAATAATATTTATTTTCACCTCATTACAACAATATGTTGATCGAAGTGAATATAATTCATAAGTAAAGAGAACTGATGAGTTTTTTTACGAAAAAATTTCCAGAATATTTCTAAAGTATTTGAAGCGTATCGAAAGTTTGATTTAACAGAATATATGGCAACAAAACCAAACGCCGCCGAATATAAGACGCACTCAAGCGTTTCTTCTACAAGTATATTGATTCCCAAATCCATAACCAATCTTACGACTGTATACAAAATTTGATTTAAAAATAAAACTGCATTATTTTTTAAACGTTTAGAAACCTATTTTTCATATTTCTCACAAGTCATCCATTTCATACACCCGCATTATCTCGAATCCATTCACGATGATCCGTATATGCCACCTTAGTGTAACCGTCTGGATTATCAGAGCCACAACCGTTGTACACAAAATTGGAGAGGCCCACCAATTTACCCTTGTATGTGGCTGGACCACCAGAATCGCCAAAGCATGCACCATTATCGGCGTTATGAGCCAAACATATTAAAGAATCATCACCCATATATATTGCCTCCTCACACTCTTCCGAATTAATTGCTTTTAACGTGTTCCATTGTAAGCGATAGGGTATTGGACCATTCGTAGACAGTCGTCCCCAACCGGAGATTATAACATCCTCACCAGAAGGTACTTCCTCTGCGGCCAACTCAATAGGTTGTATGTATGCGGTGAAGACTAATGGTTTTTCCAATTCCAAGAGTGCTATGTCATTCAGGAAATTGCCGTAAGCTTTGTGAACGATAATACGTTTTAGCTTCAATAATTCACCACCGACGGTGCGTTGAATACTGCCCACACGTACTTGATAAAATCTAGCTGGATAACTACATAAATAATGAACATTTTACTAAGCGTCTTCTAGGTGCAGTGTTTTTTTTATTGATTTTGCTAAACTTACGGTTCAATGCCATTTCCAACGACAACACAATGCGCCGCTGTAATAATGTAGTTTTCGCTAATGATCGAACCCCCACAGGTGTGTGAACCGTCTTCACGTTGTAGTGAGACCTGATGAGGGAATTGTCCAACAGCGGCGTCAGCCCCGCCAACAACACGCCCGTTGGCAGCTGCATTGCTGCTGTTAATATCGGTCAGTGCCAAAAGGCAGGTAAATACGAGTAAATTGTGGCGTGTCGCCATTATTGCAATAAACTCGGCAGAGGTTTGAAATTGTACTGAAATTTCCAATTCAAATCTATTGAAATGATAGCGAAAACTTTTATTATGCCGCTATTAACTATCTACATTGCTCACTGATATCAACTTGATCGTATTTAGTAGTCTATGCCGTGGATTAGTATGTCTTTTAAGATAAGAAGTGTCCAGTCTTACTTAAACCATAGTTATAAACTGTTCTACTGATTATCGTTATAAAGATTTCTATATTTGAGAAGTTTACAAATACAATTTTTTATACCTTGAACAGGGTATAACTTTCGTTGTTGATTTACGTGAGTACCTGCCGGCGACGGCCTAACCTCAGGGGTGCTCCAAAGCACAACGTATCAATACAATGCGTTGATAAGCGCCCCAAATAATACGAGCTATTTGCAAGTATTAATTTGGTTACCAGTGGCAGTGTGTCTGGGCCCACACTACCATCTTGGTAAGATTCGAGGCTGACCTAAAACCTCTTCCGTTTTCGGGTACGGAACCCAGTTGCTTTTTGAAACTTCTTTTTAGAACTGAAAAAACAGTTAGGCTGAATTTTCAGTTGTTCCTGCATTTAGGTTTCAACCACAAAACCACGAATCTCCCCAAAGGGGCCATAACCCAATGAGCAGATTGGACCGAAGTCCAAGTGCTTTCTGCTCCCCGTGGTACCAGAAAGTCTCCGGTAAGACTGTGTAGCCGAAACTACTGCCAGTTGAGCAACCCATTATTCAATGACTGGTGACATTTGTTGCTTGAACTTCAAATGTCTTTTTATTTGGGATTTCATTTAAAGTCTATAATATCAGTTCAAGCTGAGTATTATAGCACTATTTCTGACATCATTTACTATGCTGATAATTCTGGGCAAAATAAATTAACAATCATAGTGCATTTGGCTTTTGGTCGCCTTGTACGACAGGCATGCCTTACCGCGGGTAAGTTCTTACCCCTACCCGCAGTGGGAACCTTGAACAGGGTATATTAAGTTTGCCACGAATGTTGTTACATCCAGAAGGAAACGTCGGATACCCTATAAAATATATACATACATAAATGATCAGCATGATGTGCTGACTTGATTTAGCCATGTCCGTCTGTCCGTCTATCTGACCGTCCGTCGGTCACTCCGTCTGATATCGATCTTAAATTTAGCATATGACCGTTTCTTACCAAGAATCTGCTCATTTGTCGGAAGGGCCGATATCGGTCAACTATAGTAGCATATAGCTGTCATATAAATTGAACAATCGGAATCAAGTTCTTGTATAAAAAACTTTTTTATTTGACGAGATATATTCATGAAATTTGGAACGAATTATTATCCAAAGCAATAAAGGAATCTCCGAAAAAATTGGTCAGATCGAATCACTATAGCATGTTGCTGTCATACAAGCTGAATGATCTGAGTCAAGTTCTTCTAAGGAAGCTTTTGTATTTGTGAAGGTTATTATAGCTTCGGTGCTACCGAAGTTAGCGTTTTCTTGTTTTCTATTGTTAATTGAAAGCTATCAAAATTAGTTGTCCAATAGTAGCAATAGTGTCCTCGGTGCGGTACTGACCGGCGTCTCTGAGGAAGCGCATTATCTATTGGAGTAAACGTGGTATGAAATCGATCTATGGTTGCTCGAATTTCCGTCTCTGCTGGGCGTATGTCGACATTGCGGCGTTGCCCGAACCGAACCATTATTTTAGTAATAAATTTACACTATTTGTAAACGTTGTTCCAGAGTGAGTCTGTTCTTTATAAAATGGTAAACCAAGATGATTACAAATCAAGTAACAGCTGCCAAATGGCCAACACCAGAAAGTATTGCCACATTGAAAACTGCTTAGAAATTGAGTATGAAGTTTCACGAAACATCAAGTAAATATTTCATATATTCAGATTTTATTACAAACGTTTCGATAAATGTTTGAACTTCAGGTCTTTTTTACCCATTTATTTTCTCAAAAAAAGAGGACGTTGAAAAACCTTCTTTCAGACATGAAATGTATTGAGATATTAGAAAATCTCGCGATCTCTGTTCAAATTTAATGAATTTTCATAAAATTCGTTATCTCGTCGAAAAGAGTTTTGTAAAAGCTAGATGAAAGACAGAATATTTTTTTGTAGCGCTCGAAACAGATGAGAAGTATTTTGATAATCACTAACTTCAGGTGAATGCAAATCTTAGCTATACGGATGTGGTTCCACTCGCAGACATTGTTATTCGAGCACATTGGTGTTGTATTTGGAGAGCTTTCGGCAGTTATTCTAAAACTATCTGCATCGTATAGTAAGCTTATGGTTTCATTAGTCTCTTGGATCTGATACATAATAACACGATTTTAATTTGTGGTCATTTCCTAGGAAATTCTGACTCAACAAATTAGTTTGAAAACTTAAATAATTAAGGTCATTATTACTAGTTTTTTATTTAAAAGTTTTTCTTTTTTCATTTAAACACCAGCAATACTTCGAATCCATTGGCGATGATAAGCCACCCTAGCATAACCATCTGGAAAACTGCTACCACAGCCGTTCACTACAAAACCGGCTACACCCACTAGTTTACCCTTATATGTAGCTGGACCACCAGAGTCACCATTGCAGGCGCCATTGTTAGCTTGATGCGCTAAACAAATCAAACTGTCATCGCCCATTCCAATCGCCTCATCGCACTCTTCCATAGTCAATGCTTTTAAAGTGTTCCACTGCATCTTATATGGGATTGGACCACCAGTGTATAGCCGTCCCCAGCCTGAGATTATAACATCTTCTCCCGTGGGCACCTGTTCTTCGGCCATTTCGATGGGTTGTATGTTTGCGGTGAAGACCAAGGGTTTCTCCAATTCTAAGAGTGCTACATCATTTAGGAAATTACGATAAGTTTTATTGACGATGATGCGTTTTAACTTCAACAATTGTCCACCGACTGTGCGTTGAATACTGCCTACACGTACTTGGAAGTATTTAGCCGGATAACTAAATGGACATATGGGCTCTTAGTAAAATTTACTTGCACGTAGACCAGAAGTCGGTTATGATTCGGTACACTTACGGTTCAATGCCATTTCCAACGACAACGCAATGTGCCGCTGTAAGAATATATTTTTCGCTAATGATTGAAGCGCCACAGGTATGTGAGCCGTCTTCACGTTGTAGTGAGACCTGGTGGGGGAATTGTCCAATAGCGGCGTCGACACCACCGACAATACGTCCATTAGGAGCTGCATTGCTGCCGCTGATTAAGGCCAAAGCCAAAAGCACAGAACTAAGCAGAAGATGCGCCGCCATAACTAAAACTTATTCGGTGGACGGATGTAAAATTTAGACTAAAACCAAATTGAGGTCTGCAGGGATTTTATAGCTAGTATTTTTTTGTAGAAATAAACCCAAGTAATAAATTAAGTTAATTTAATAATTTTGTTATAACAGAAAGGTTTTGGTTTTGATGCGTAATCAGATTTGCAAACTTTGGATTAGATAATGGTTGAGAAATTTATGATCCAAGTTTGTTGGAAATAAAATAAATAATACGTAAAGTTTAGGTTGGGCAAACCTATTGAAGAATGAGATAAAAAAAGTTGCAGTAAAACTTTTATAACAGCATAGCGGATATGTGTATTGGCGGTGTTTAGGAACTTTAGTAAACTGAGGATCAAAGCGGAGACTAAAGTTTTTGTTTTGAGTCGCTAAAAGACAGAAATATAAACAGCAACAAAACGGGTTCGCCTACTGTAACTGAAAAGCATAGAGAAGAATAACTGAGCAATGAGAGATGGATATAGAGAGAGAATTCTAGTGAGATCTTTAATAAAAAGATGCTTATAAATATAATATTTAAAACGATCTATCATCTATCTTAAAGTTTAATATTTAGTGTTCAGAGGTTACTGGCTATTAAGGTAGTGTAGTTCGGTGGTAGCTTTATATTTTGTATTCATTGATCGTACATGAATTTTTTACACACACTCACATGTGGATATTCAATAAGAATACAAGAAAAAATTTTGCACTGAAGCAAAAATACCCTTTACAAATAAAAAAGGTCCCGTATAAGAACTTGATTTTGATCGGTCAGTTTGTACTGTTATGACAGCTATATGTTATGGTAGTCTGATATCTGCGGTTGCGATAAGTGAACAGCTTCTTGTAGGGAAAAGGATGTGTGTAAAATTTCAGATTGGTATCTTAAAAATTGTTGAA